TATATATGAACAAACTTTTGTCCAAGTTGTTTTTAGAAGCAAGCTCAAGGATTTTTGTCTTTTATACAGAAAACAGAACTGTCTCCTCAGGACCTAGTTTACTAACTGTCTTCCTGGCAGTGGTGTGCATTGCAGCTCTGATGCTTCCTACACTGGGGGATGTGGAATCGCTGGTGCCTCTCTACCTCCACTTAAGTGTGAATCAAAAATTAGTGGCTGCTTACATCTTAGGTAAGTGTTTTAAAGATTTGGGGCATATGTATAGGCACTATGTATGGCTTGGAGGTGGTAGTGATGGTCTTATGTATATTGGATGATGGTGGTGGTGTTGGTTTGATTTTTTTTTTTAAGCAAAACATAAAAGATTGCTTTAAAAACATGTTGAGGCCAAGTACATTTTAAGGTTTAATTTTTTTGGCTCACATTTAGTTTTTTTTAGCTTATTTATTTAGTACCTGATACTGTATTTATTTGATTATTTTATTTTTACTGAGTTACAATGGTATAAAACATGTGTAAAATGCATATATTCCATGATACAGCTTTTCTACTTCTAGGAATTGATACTACGGAACACTTAGACAAAGTATACACAATGATAGAGATGAACAATGCAACCTTGTTTAATACTGTGAACCTTTCTCTTTATTTTTATTGATTTCAGAGAGGAAGGGAGAGGGAGAGAGAGATAGAAACATCAATGATGAGAGAGAATCATTGATTGGCTGCTTCCTGTATGCCCCCCAATGGGGATTGAGCCCACAACCTAGGCATGTGCCCTGACCAGAAATCCAACTGTGACCTCCTGGTTCATAGATTGATGCTCAACCACTGAGCCCTGGAGGCTGGGCAATGAACCTTTCTCTTTAAACCAGTTCCCCTTTTTTCCTGTTAAGTCATTCTTTCATTCATCCTGATTTGAAAATTTATAATTAGTTCAACGGAACATTTATTCAGTACCTGTCTAGTGTGTGAAGGATTAAGATTCTGTCTCTCATCTCTTCTGAGATGCCAACCCTTTTCAGTACTCCTTGGTACACTCTCATTTTGAAAAAAATATTTTTATTGCATTTTAGAGAGAGAGGAAGGAAGAGGGATAGAGAGATAGACACATCAATGAGAGAGGAAGTCATTGATTTGTTGCCTCCTGCACAGCCCCCACTGGGGATCAAGCCCACAACCTGGGCATGTCCCCTGACTGAGAATTGAACTGGTGACTTCTTGGTTCCTGAGTTGATGCTCAATCGCTGAGCCACACTGGCTGGGCTGGTGCCTTCTCTTTCTAATTTAAAAATTGTTTTCTAAATTGTCTCCCTATCTTCTGACTGTGCCCCTTCCTATTTCTGTCTTTTCCCATTATTCACCCCCCCCCAAAAAACCCCACATCTATTATATTGCTGTCACATTGCTTTCCATTCTGTTTTGGTTTCACTACCACCACTCCCTGCTCAAAAACCTTCAATGTTTCCCCATAGTCGAGGAGTAGGGAACTTTTTACTGCCAAAGAACATTTGTATATTTATAACATCACTAGTGGCCCGGTGCATGAAATTTGTGTGCTCAGGGGGATGCCTCAGCCCAGATTGCAAGAGGGCATAGGCCAGGTCGAGGGACCCCACAGGTGCACAGTCGGGGCCAGGGAGGGACATGGGAGGTTGGCCAGCCTGGGAGGGGCCACGGGAGGACTACAGGGTGTGTCCAGCCCATCTCACTCAGTCCCGATTGGCTGGACCCTAGCAGCAAGATAACCTACTGGGCAGAGCGTCTGCCCCCTGGTGGTCAGTGCACGTCATAGTGAGCAGTTGATTGGCCTTAGCATATCATTAGCATATTACACTTTGATTGCTTGAATGGCCTACCAGACAACTGGACATTTAGCATATTAGGCTTTTATTATATAGGACTAGAGGTCCGATGCAAGAAATTTGTGCAAGAGTAGGCTTTCCTTCCCCCGGCTGCCGACACCAGCTTCCCTCTGGCACCCGGGACCCGGGCTTCCCTCCAGCCACCAGCTGGCACCCAGGACCTGGGCTTCCCTCAAAGCCCTGAAGGTCATCTGGAAGGATGTCCAGTCTAATTAGCATATTACACTTTTATTATTATAGATTCTTGGGCCATACAAAAGTATCAACTTAAAAATTAGCCTGTTGTATTTGGTCAAACATTTAATTAAGTAACCCTAATGCCTTGGCAGGACCAGACCAAATGATTTCAAGGGCCTTATATGGTCCACTGGCTGGATGTTCCCCACCCCTGCCATAGTCTATAAAATGAAGTATAAATCTATAGTTTGGCATTTAAGACTTTCCATACACTGTCTGAGATCTCTCTGAGCTACTCATAAATCCTTAATTAGAGTGGTTAGGTTATTTATTGATCCCCAAAAAGCTCATTGAGAGTCCCAGTCTTATCTCCATGCCCTTGCCCTTACCCTTCCCTCACCTGAAAGTCTGCCCATCTCATTGTTCTGTATCTTTTCTGATCATCTTTTAGGCTTATTTTAGCTTTACATTTTGGGGTATGTTTTCTGACTGCCCCAGTCCCACGTGATTATTATCCTTCTCTGTACTTCATTTCACATTTGTGGTTTTGAACCACTCATGTAGGAATGAACATTTTATTAAATTTTTATGGTTTTATGTATGATATCTCTTCAGGAGTACCATGCTTCTGTCTCTTTGTGTCCCACAAAGTTTTTTTCTTTTTTTGGATGAAGTCAACTGGCTTTACTGACACTTTAATGGCACATTTGCTATTATTATATAGCTGAAGTGATTGGATAAAGTGGGAGGTATATTTGATGGTTAAAACATTAGCTGTGCTCAGACATTAAATACATCCAGTGACTGCCCTTTGCTATAAATTGGATTTCTTCTGTATGATATCAACTAAATTCAAATTGACTTCAAGCTCTGGGTAGAGTACCTGCCTATGTGCTGTATTTTATTTGCTCATTGAGGGCTAAACAATTGCTTATTGAATGGAAAATTTTGTAAAATGCATGTCTTTAACTGTTCTTCATTTTCTTTTCTTTCAGGTCTTATCACAATGGCTATATTTAGAACATGAGCAAGGAATTCAATTGACTTCTGAAGTAAATTTATCTTGAAAATATGAATGTGGACTGCCTTTTATCTCTATTTCACTCCATTAATATGCTATAAACTATTGAATGATTTACAGTGATTATAAATATATAATATATATTTTAAATTACTTTATAATTTTATTCAAAGGACTCCAGCACATTGTGTTATTAAAAAACAAAAAAAACAACAACATACCAGGATGCTTCTGAGTGACACCGAGGAAATTCTTTGAAGAAATTCTTTTTATATCTAAACCTATTGTGCAAAAGACTTTAATTAAAACATTTGTTATTTTCTCATCTTTTTTCTAATTCATTTTAAATTTACTTTAATTGTTAGGCTCATGTGTCCTTCAAAGTTAGTTAAAGGCCTAAAACAGCAAACTGACTAGCCTAAAAATAAAATTACATTTATTTCCTTGCTATGAACATCAACATTACTATGTAAATTATATCTTGGCTTCTATTATAAACAGTTGCCATGGTGTTTCTGAAATAAGTTTTACAGTTAATGTGTGGAGGGTTTTTTATAAAGCACAAAGTATTGAGGAATCATGCTTATTCTAGGGCTCACAGAAGACAGGACATATTTAATTCATCTTCTGAATTACAGAATAGGTTGTGGTCCAGACACCAAACATGTGGGGTTATTTTAAACCTCATAAAAGTAGGCTGACCTCTCTTATTTGGTCTAAGAAATCTAAAGGAAGGTAGGCATGCGTTTAGTTAGTGGTTCACCTTGGCTGTACCTTTGGATCAGGTGTCCTCAAACTACGGCCCACGGGCCACATGCAAATACAAATATTGTATTTGTTCCTGTTTTGTTTTTTTTACTTCAAAATAAGATATGTGCAGTGTGCATAGGAATTTGTTCACAGTTTTTTTTTAAAACTATAGTCTGGCCCTCCAACGGTCTGAGGGACAGTGAACTGGCCCCCTGTTTAAAAAGTTTGAGGACCCCTGCTTTGGATAATGCTTTATGTTAATAGGAGGAAAAATCTTTTTCTCCCCAGCCTCTTGCCTGACTGTAAGAGACTAGGCCAGTTTGGGATTACCAGATACTGGATGGTTTATGTGGAGATGATTTTTCACCTTTAAACCCTAAGCCAAGTATAGAAAATCCTTAAAAATCTGTGTCTATTTTATATCAGTCACTGAGACATTTTTAAGTTTATATTTATTATTAAAACAACTTTATGAAAAAGTCCCCAAAGCACAACTATTTACATTTCTTTATAGCATCTTCTGATCTCTAACATATATATGCAGTTTTAACTGTTACTGTCATACTTAGGATTTTTATCTGAGAGCACAATGCATTAAGAGTCTCAATTCTTTTTTCAGATCTTTTTACAGAATGAACTTATGCACTGCTACTGTAGTATTCTCAAGGAGTATATGTAAACACAAAACGTATGCCTGAGGTTGGTTTTAGCAGGAAACAGTTCTTTGCGTCTAACGTAAAAGCTTTTACATATACTCTTTCATAGAAAATCCTGATCGGTTTAACCATTTGGGGAGCATAAATCATTAAACGGATCATGTCTGTACATTGTGTAATGAATGGAAAGCACATAAACGTCAATGTAATCTATTTTGAACTTTGTAAAAAAACCTGTTTGGCGGCTATCCTTGTTTCTCTGTCCATCTTAAGTCCTGTGTGTGTGCGCGCGCGTGTGTATGGGTATGTGTGCACATGCATGTGCACACATGTGTGTGTATGATAACACATTGTAATAAAAATAAATTACTTAAAAATAAAAGAAAATGGAGACACAAGTTTCACATTGATTTACACATTTTATTTGGGTTACTCTGAGGAACTCAAAAGTTTTAGCTCTCCTAATTCCTAAACTATCTCCTATTCCTGTAGGTTAAATAGAAAAAAATGAGCAAAACATGTGAGCTTAAATATCTTAAATTTTTATCTTAATTTACCAAAGCAGCTACTATTTTTAATTATTGAAAAAGTAACAGTCACGTGCTTCAAAAATAAAAAGGTATATAGTGAAAAGTTACTCCTCTTCATCCTTGTCTACCCCATTCCCTGTCGACTCATCACAAGCGACCACTTTTATTAGTTTAAACATGGTATTGTTTCTTTATCCAAATACATATATACTGGTATTCCCTGCTTTTGGAAAGTTTGCTTTATGCCACTTCTTTTACAAAAGAATTACTTAATACTTGTTTCCCTTAACCAAAAGATCTAAAAAGGATTTTTGCTTTTATGAAAAAGGCAAAAAGCAAAAATAGTGTTCAATGTTTGTTTTGCAGTATATACCCGGAGCAGCAAGAGTGGACCCCACCAAGCTCCTTACCTGGGAATTATACTCAGCATGTCAGCATCAAGCCGCCATAGCTTTGACCTCTGAGCATGTATGATTTATTATCTTGCACCCATTAGCAAGATGTGTCTTAAGGTAATTGCTTCTTTGCTTTACACCATTTCAGCTTTTGAAAGGTTTCATAGGGATGCAATTCCTTAAAAGCATAAAAATGAGAATAGTTTCTGATAGTGAGGGAAACCTTATTCTTATTTTTATATGCTTTTATATAAAAATGGTAGCATGTTTTACATACTGCACCTAACATTTTTTTTTACTTAACACTATATCAGTAATTGAACTTTCTATATGATTAATTGAAGAACGTCTTCATTCTTTTTATTACAGCTGCGTAGTATTTTCTTATAAGGCATGTAGCATAATGCGTTTTACCAGTTCCTCCTTTATCAGTTCTATCAGCAATGCATGAGTGCCTGTTCTTTCATAGTCTCATTAGCCATGTGTTTTCCAATCTGATGCATGAGGAATGGTATTTCAGCGTAGTTTTAATTTTTATTAACTTATAAGTGAAGTTGAGTATATCTTTTCATAGACTAATTTATTCACATCCTTTGTCCCCCAACCCCTGCTTTCTGGTGGGTGGGTGAGTTTTTTTCTTATTGACTTGTAGGAGCTATTTGTGATATGAGTTGCAAATATTTCCTTTCAGTTTATAATTTTCTCTTGACTTGGCTTATGGTGTCTTTAGCATGCAAAATTTATTCTGGGGTAGTTGAATTTATTAATCTTTTATGACTCCTGTGTTTTGAATAATAGAAAACTCTACCCCACCCCAAGGTTACATGGATACATGTATGTATACACACAAACACCAGTTAGGAGATTTAATAATATAATAGCAAAAAAATTAAACTAAAAAGCCTTAGGTTTAATCTTTAAAAAGTCCCAAAACCTTTAAACTATAAGATACTCCTGTAAACACAAAACTAGACTTGAACAAATGGAAGACATCTGGCACATTCTTAGATATGTATATTCTTGACATCATAAAAATTTCCCTTATTTCTAAGTTATATAAATTTAACATGATTCCAATAAGAATACCAAGTGGTTTTGGTATTTTTTTAACCTAGGTAAGTTGATTCTAGAATTCATGTGGAGAAATAGGCATGGCTATGAAAACTCTTCAAAAGAAGAGTAAAGGAGGAAAATTTCCTGATACTAAAATATATAACCCCAAAATTCCAACAGCGTGGTATTTGCCCATGAATAGACCAGTGGAAAAGAATCAGAAGTACAGAAACAGATGCAAATACATCCAGGAATTTAGTATATGATAAATAGTGGTCATCTCAAAGTAGTGGTCAATAAATAGCATGGAATCAACTAGATAAACATCTAGGAAAAAAAGGAAGTTGGATTGATGCATTCCACCAGAATAAACTCCAAAAGAAATAAAAATTTAAGTGCAAAAAACAAAACAATAAAGGTGGTAGCCAAAAATGTGGCATTATTAATTCTCATATAATCTTGGAAGAGGTTAATTCTTGATGACTCAATAGCAGTATTTCATATCAACTATTAAATTTGCAATCAGTGTTTCCCTTTGGAAGTTGTTTTTCTTCTCTCCTGAATGTAATTTCCAGTTTTATAAAAGGGCCTCCACAAAAATTAATTGCCAAAGTAGATTCCTAGAATCATAAAACTTGAATCTTCCTATTAGAGATTACTTAATTCAATTCACTTAGTCTTGCCCTTTAATTCAAAACAATGCTGCATTTTGACAGGCTGTAATCAATAAGAACTGGGTGCCTGGCAAGTGATCATACACTGTGTATCTGCACGATCTAGATTGCAGTTCACAGTTGAGTGTGTGGTGGTGTTGGGGAAGGGCAGAAAAGGAAATGGAATTTAGATAGCCTTTGATCCAATTCCATGCTGAAGTGCGTGGCATACCCTACAAATGTTGTAGGAGTTGGGGTACCTGAGCTGGCTTTTAAAGGGTAGGTTTGACTTATATATGGAAAAGAGTTGGGTTCATAAGAAAAGGCAAGGATGCATGTGCCACGACATAGAGTTGTTTTGAAATAGTTTCTAGGGAGATATTTGAGACTGCAATGTGTGTGCCATTATTACCTGTCTACCAGAAAGAAAACTTTTTCCTGCCATGATTAAAAGGGCTGAACATAGGGTAGTGAGGAAAGAACCGAGCTTACTAAGGGGCCACAAGTATTACAAAGGTTAATCAAGGATAAAGTGAAAAGGTAGTTTTCATTATGAAAAAAATTATGATTCATCCTAAAAAAGGATCTAGCAAACAGGCAATGTACAGCAAGAGCCATAGAAATAGCTATAATTATCTGTAACTGCAGGTGTTTCTGCCACCTCAAAATTGTTAGGCCTCCACAATTTTGCCACCCGAGTCCACTTCAAAAGGAGTTATACAAAGTCAGCATGTAAAATTTCAGATTTCTAGATGGGATTCTGGAAATGAGTGTCTCCTAGATATTTTCATTCACCAAACAAGTGAGTGGAAAAACTATATAGCAGCTGCCCAGAAGACACCTCCAGGGTTTCAACATGAAAACGGAAATAGAATGCTGAGGTTTCAAAACTTTGCTATTATGAAAGAGATTGAAGATTTCAAGTAGCATCTAAAGCCCTGTTATTTTGAGAGAACATGCCTAAAGGGAACAATTTATAATGATTAGAAGGATGGTGATACTGGGACCATGCAGCTACACTAGAAGATTCTCTACAGAGCCTAGCTGTATTATCCCAGTAGCAGAATGTCAAGTTAGTGATTATTTCATCAGGAAAATATTTGCTACACCTATAGTCTGGAAGTGATAAACAACATACCAGAGCAGAACATTACTCTCCAGGATTAAGTACCAAACAAAATGAAAAAGAGTTGACCCAGACTTTGAGATGAAGCCTTATCCAGTTACCACATCAAAGACCCTTTAAATAAGCCATAGGCAGAAAAAAGGAATCAATTGGGACACTGGTTTGGAGACACTTTATATAGCCAAGAGAAAAAGCATGCAAATAGATCAAACTCAAATCTGGCTGTTTCCTTTATTTTGTTCATTTAGTTTCTCTCTGATTTGCCCCTGTCACTTGGTTAATCAAAAGCTGTTCAAAATTTAAAGTGACACCTACACTGCGCTATGTCAGCTCAGTACCTAATAAAAACGGAATCTAGTAGGAAGATGATGAAGGGAATGTTCAGTCCACTGAATGCATTTTCCAATTAGCTGGGTGATTGCTTTGTGAATCACAGACTTAATGAAACCACACACTGGGAAGTTTAGGATGTGATCCAGGTAGGTGGGGAGAAGCTCTGATTCAATAAATAAAATGATTTCATGAACATGTAGACAGATTTTAGTCCACCAAGGTAGAGAAAAACAATGCAAAATCCACCTTGACAAACTGAAGTGTGAGCTGTGCTAATGGTAAGGGAAAAAATGTGCTAAACCCTGGGAAGGATAAATTACTTTTACACAATCATGTCATAAGAGGCAAGGTTAGGAATGGATTTATTTAAGGAATTGAAATGAAACCTTTCTCCTTAATGAACAGGTTTTTGGAGCTAATCACTGTATACTAGGTAAACTGTATCTTTAGCCTAAACCAGTGGTTGGCAAACTGCGGCTCGAGAGCCACATACGGCTCTTTGGCCCCTTGAGTGTGGCTCTTCCTAAGCC